TCGGAGCCTCTTCTTAGCGGCGGAGAGCGCGGCCGCCCTCACTGCGCCCGCGGCTCGGAACTCACGCCAGCAGGAGTCATTAAGCAAACAGTCTCATTTTTCCCCGACTTATCGCTCGCCTTTACGACTGCCCGGGACCGCTTACGCCCGAATTATTACCTGCCTTCTTAATTAAATGCCTGGAAACGAATGCGGAGGAGGGAATCGGATTGCATCGCCATTGCCGCCTCACTCCCTCCAGCCAGGCTCATCGACTCGCCGCAGCCTTCCCTTCTTCCTTCCCTCCTCACGGTCCATTCCCTCTTACCTCCTCACGGTTCCTTCCCTTTTCCCTCTTTCCTGCCTTCCTCGCGGCCTCTTTCCTCTGTCTTCCCTCCTCACGGTCCCTTGCCTCTACCCTGTTTCCTGCCTACCTCACGGACCCTCCCCTTCCTTTGGCCCCTCCCTTCCCTTGCTCCCTTCCTTCCCTCCCCGCCTACCCCTTTCCCTCCTCCCTCCCTCCCCACCTACCCCTTACCCTTTCCCCTCCTTCCTCTTTCCCCCCTCCTTCCCTCCCTACGAAGGCGGACCCGAACTCCGGCTCCTCTTGTTCTGCAACCCTGGCGTGGTGTATCGCCCGCGGCCGCTCTCCCCTCCTAATCTCTAGTGTCATTTTAATCCCCGTCCCTTTACGCGAGATGCTTAATTCTATCCTATTTCTTCGCCCCTTCTCCTTCCATCTCATCTCCTTCAGAAAATTGTTATATGAGCAGCGCGGGACCAAAACGCGCGCTCTCCCCCTCGCCTTACAATTTCCTCCACGCCGCAAGTTGCCTCGGACTCTCAGGGTCCTTCGACCGGGAGTGCCTCTCGCCCCGAGTCCCTCAACGGGGTCCTTCGGAGGGCCGAGATCATTCCGAGGACCCCGCAGCCAAGCGTCCGCCCTCCTTGCTGTAAGTTCCATCACGCCACGAGCCCGCCGCAGCGCAGGATTCCTCGAAGGTCCTCATAGTCCCCATTCCTGGTTCTCTCCTGAAGCCAAACCAGGTGTATTTCGACTGGTTCTTATCAGCTGACCTATGCAAACGGGCTATTAAAAGTTCTCTTATCTCTGGTGATAAACATCAATTTCCTGGAGTTGTGACGCGAATTGCGATTCTTAACTGATAGTTTTTGCGCCAGCTGCTATCGTTCACACAACGGCCATTATAGCAACAGGGACTGATTGCTTTTTAATGCATTTGAAGGTGAATTCAACCGTGCCTTGTATATTCGGTCTTTGGCTGTTTCCATTTGTCCGTTCTCCATCCATCTGCGACTATTAAGCTGCATGCTTACTGGTCACATTTAGCAGATTTTAGAGTTCTTGGTGTGCTTATTTTTGCTCGCATATGCTCCGAGGAGACCTCTTGAGACAACCACGAGGAGCCTTTCGGAGACTCGTACGGAGCAGTCGTCCCTCCGCGGATCCCATTTCGGCGTCTATGAATACCATTTCAATTGCGACTTCCGCGCCACAAGAAGAAATAGCATTTATGGATTTATTCATAAGATCTGTCAGAATTTGACCGCGGCTTCCAGCTGTCAAGCTCTATCGGTCGCCTGTCACGTGACAAGACGGAGCATTTGGGATGAAGTTCCTGCGGCTTCTCGCTCTTGCTTTGCTGTGGTACTTTCATTGTACAATTTTTGACGACAGGTGCTCTTTCGTTGCATTGGCGATCCCTTCCTGGCGCTTCATGCCAGCGACACTGCCAAATGCTCTCGCCTTGCCCGACCCCTGTGTCCACACCCCCCTTTCCAGCGTTAGTTCTGACTGTGTGTTCTCGCTGGGTTTGCGGAGCGGGTCCCCTTCGTGGTGTTCCGCGGAGCCCTCGGCCAGGTGCTCCTCGCAGGCCGGCTTTGTGCCCCGGCTGGATGCTCGTGGCCGGCGCGCAAGATCACGATCGGCGGTCACCTGACAATTAGGGCGAGCGAGGGAGCGAGGGAGCAGGTCCCGACCAATAATCCACAAATATGCCCGCAGTAAACGAAACAAGTGGGAGTTTTAAGACCTCTTGAAGCGGGATTTTATGTGCGGTGTACAGCAGTGGCCGGTTAATGTGGACAGGCTGAGGCGACGCCCCTTCGAGGGATGCGAGGCTATGGTTGGGCGCTCGGCCGGGGCGGGGGGAGGCGGAGGGGCGTGCTGACCGGAGATAAGGAGGGACATCAGGGCGAGAGAAGATAACAGCGCTACGATATCAGTAAGAATGTGTATCTATAAGGAAAAGAATAAGAGGCAATGAAATACGATCCAGAGCGCGGCCGACTCACCCGCGCCCTCTGTCGGCGACGACGCAAAGTAAACGAACGAAATTTAGATTCTCGTCAGCGAACGTAAATAAAAATATAAAAAGGAATTAAGGGAGAAAAACAAAGGCCAGAAATTAACGCCGAGCGACGCGCCCCTTGCTGTCTGCTTTGACCGGTAAGTTTTGTAGCGTAAGTGTACACTGGTGTTAACAGGAGTCTTAAATACTATTAACGAGTGTCCCCCATAAACACGATGATACATTCTCCGCGCGCAAGCCACAATGACCAGTACTTGCTGCGAGCGTAAGGGCGGGTTTTCGCAGCTGTAGGTCCCGACTGTGAACTTAACGAGGCAATCAGAAAATCACCACTCTTACAACTACCAACAGTAATGCCGCTATATTGCATATACGAGACTTTTAGAATACGAGATGGCCCGCTATGACTCAAACTACACAAGGCACTATATGGATAACTATAACAATTTCTATGCGCGCCGCCCAGCCTCACGCCGGCGCGGCGCTTCGTCCCGACAGGCAACGAAACCGAAGGAAACCCGAGGCGCCGCTCGCCCAGGACCACGGCATTTTCCTCGCATATTTAGCGGCTGATACCGCGAAGCTTAAGAAATGAAAGTCGTTCAAATCTACACCTCGAACTCGAAGGCTCGAAGATTTCAAAGGCCTGTTAGGCTTAAATAATGGCTTATTCTTCATGTTAAGTATACAAACAGACTCTTACGCGGTAATGTTGATATTCTTTATTAGGTACTAAAGACGAAGCCGGAAAATCAGATGAATGTCTGGTCCATTTATTCTGCTGGGAACATTCACAAAACTTTAGTTCTTCAATTAAAATTCAAGATATCACGTTAATCCCCCGTTTTATACATCATTACAGAAGACATAAAGAATAAAAGAAGCAATAATTCTTCGTTGATTTTGGGATAGCAGTTCATCAAGGAAGACTTAATATCTAAATGTCTGTGTTTCACTTTATCTCAGATTGATTTACTACCAACATTACCACATAAATGGCACTTTACGGCATTCCCTTTTTGGTCGCTTTTAAACTCTTGCTAAAAAAAAGGGGGGAAAAAAGTTATGCTTACTGGGGCTTCAAATCATTTCGATTATATTGCACATTCGTTCTGTATCTTTTCTCGATCCGCAAGGACTCTGCGCCCAAGAACGGCCACGGGTCCTTTGTGTCCGTATCTCATTACGGAGTTTTGTTTCCATTACGAACGAAATAATTACCCGGGCGAGCGGCGGGTCTGCTCGGCGCCTGATTAACCTTTCTGGCAAACCTGTCCAAAACAAACCATCCCAAAGCCTCTGGAAAAATCTCGGACGAGTGCCAATTGCAGCCAAACCTTAACTTTAGGACGAAATAAATCAGACGAAATGTGAACGCGTGAATGACATTAAGTGAGAACCATACGCACTATCTGGCCTACCATCACCCGGGCTTTCAACAGTCGCAACAGCAGTGCAAGATAACTATCGCAAGCCTTGGTCAGAGGGCGGTCGAGATCCAGCCGCCCCTTGCAAAATTTGAAGGCGAGAGCTCTGCCACTTGCTAAGTGGCGTCCGAGGGCCCCAGACGATGCTAATGCCATCCCTCCGAGGATTCTTAAAGTAAACAAAGTCTCGAACATTTCCTCCAATCCTGGACTGGCCGACGGCTTTCCGAGACAAGGGAAAAGCGAAGAAATTTCTTTTATCTGCGGCATTCATCAGCAAGACTGCAAGAAACCTTAGATTACACACATTCACTTTTAACAAGGTAGACACTTTTTTAAACAAAGTAAAATGTTCCATAATTTGTGTTGTTTCTTCTATGGAATGTGTGATGTATTTTATCACCAGCTTCGCCCATTTGCCAAACTCTTATCCATTTTTATTGTTTGCGAGTCTCTTTATGTGTTGTGTTGGCGGCCTCTACTTTTTTCCTGAAGGGTTTACCGCTATTATAATGAGGCAGTCGTTGTGCTGCTGATATAGACTGCTCTGCCCTACGACTCTGCCCGGGCTAATTTATAATGAAAATCGAAAAGAAGGTAAACGCCAAATTCGAAGACGTAAAAGTAATTTCTTACGCCTCGGTCCCCCCTTCCCTCACGCCTCGAGCATCTCCCCCCCCCTCGCCCCTCCCCTCCCCTGCACCTTCTTGCTCCCCCCACCTTTATCACCTCCCCCCCCACCCTCACCCCCGAATACCTCCTCTAACTCCCTCTCCCCCGCCCCCCTTCACCCTCATTCTCTCCTCCCTCCCTTTATCGCGCCTTCTCCCACGCCCTTTTCTTTCTCGCCCACCTCTCCTTTTCCCTTTTGAGACCCTTCGCCCTGATGCTCTCCCGCCCTCGATAGCCCCCTCCCCGCCCTCCTCTCCCTCTCCCTTCTCCCCCACCCACACCCGGACGAGCAGCGCTGAGGGCGCACGTGGCGGACGCTGGTACTCACCGCTCTGTGAGGTGCGCACGTCCTGTAACTCCTGCTGCTGTTGCTGCTGCTGCTGTTGTTGCTGTTGCTGCTGCTGCTGCTGTGGCTGGTGTGACTTTGGGCTGTGGTGGGGGTTCTCGCCTTGGCTGGACGACCCTCCCGAGGCCGCCGCCGCCGCCGCAGCTGCCGCCGCCGCCACGGCAGCGTTCTTGACGCCCTCCTTGGCCAGGGACTCGGCTGCGGGAGGCACAGAGACACCGGTGCTTTACTCCGTCGTCGCAG